GTGGCTTGTTTGCAGTTCAGTTGCTCCCGATAAAGAAAACACAGGGGCCGGAATACGCACGCATGAAGAATTTTGCGAGAAGTACAACGATGTGATTTTATAGCGCGAAGAACTGAGTAATGAGCATATTGTTGAACCTAAATTCTCACTACATTCCATAGACTTAAATTCCAGTCTGTGATGAACGGATCGTATTGTTTGTTTTTGTTTTTTGAGTGTGGTGCGAGTATTGTACGTGCACAAGGCATCTAAGAGCTGGCAAAATATGACCGATAAATGACTAAATGTCATGTCTATTGGATCACAGTTGTTTATTTGTGAGCGCGTGACATGGTGGTACTACATGTATAATGCATATACGCTGGTTGCATGGTCTCACCTTTTTGGATGGCGTTTCACGATGTCCATCGCCGGGCCGGGAATCCGTAAAGTAAGAAGTGCACATTCTTGATACCAGTGATTTATTACACCACTGTGATTTCAACTTTCCGAAAGAAAATTTCATCCCCGCTTTTAATGAGTTTGTAAAAGTTGGCAGCTCTCATTTGGGCTTTTTATTGGCGCCGGCCATTGGAGCGCACACGACATCGGCCTACCGCAAAGTCAATGGATTTGACACAAGCCAGTAGTAAAAGGCAATTATTTTACACTCGTACCACCAAGGTGGCAGAAACATTAAGCACATATGTAATACAAATTTTAAACTAGCATTTGCTGTTCTATATTTTGAAGCAATTACCCGATCAAAATCACGTTTGAAAACGTTGTTTCATTCATACTATGTGTGATTGTTGATTCCCCTTCGATATCAACGCAGTCACCGCGTTCATATTTACGCAAGTCAGTGGGCATACGAGCGATCGCCAACGTTCCGAAAAAAACTTTGGGCTTCATAAAAACGCGCCGCGATCACCGCGTTTTGGACAGCTGATAATGCATTATTCATGAGCGCTTAAGCATTACAATGCCACAGTTTCCACTCGTACCTCATTAACTTGCCTTCGCATGAGTGATTTTGATGCAGCCAAACCGCAGTTGTACGATCCTTAGCAACCCGGCCAAACCGCGGCGACCGCAACGGTCAAACCACGGCAACCTTTTTGCAAAGACACTGTTGCTATACCTCGTAATTCAGGGCAAGCTTTTGCATAGTGACCACCATCTCTGGAATGGACTGGTTCCTGTGTATCCTTCTTATCCATTGAGAACAGTGTATTGTTGCAAGGTGTCTCTTATGTAACTTCGCAAATCATGAGGTATAGCAACAGTGGTTTTAGTATGGAGAATTCAAGTTGTTATGTTCACGTTAATATTAAAGGACTCGGTGTACCAAATTTTATTCAAATTTAACTTGCAAATGGCTTATTCAATCAATGTCCATGCTTACAGACGCGTACATGTACATGTATGTCAAGTTAATAGGTTTCCCCTGTTGATTACTCACATACATCAACACTCAAGCCTGAGCCATGATGGAGATGGATCACACACAAACCTATTTTAAAGGGGAATTCCAGGCCAGAAATATCATAGCAAGTTAGGAACAATTTGCCTCATTATAAAAGATCAGCCCGACATTGATTATCTTTCATTTAATGGTTACAGCGACTGTTGTCTTCATGATTTTGCACTGTTCATGTGAATAAAGAGTACATCCATATTGTTTGGAAATCTCTTTTTGTTTTTACGGGATTTACCTCTCCGGACATTAAAGTATATGGTATTTTCAAGTTACTTTCAACCATCATACAGTGTACTGCATTCTTACTCCTTTGTTAAGATTACTGTATTGGAAATGTGGGTTATTACTTGCCATGAGGGGAATTTCAGTTAGATGTACATGTAGGCCTAATGTTTGTATTATTGCTTGGCCTCAAAGCCTAAAGGAAAAGAAAGACCCCGTACCATTTTTACATAGTCCAAAACCCAAAGTCCAAATTATTTCGTAATAAAAAAAGATTTTAATTTTTAAAAATCTCTGAAATTTGTCGGGAAAAATGAGCCCTCATACCTAAAGTCTTTTGACAAAACTCTCAAAAGTTTTGAGTGATTCACTCAATAAAGAGCTGCACTTTTGAGTAATGCTCTCAAAGTCAGCATTTAGCTCAAAGTCTTAATTTTCGAGGTTTTCACTCAAAATCTAACTATGAGTTAACTGTTCAAGTTGAGTCTTTACTTTTAATTTTTTCGTGCTCTATTTTGAGCCAAGTGATATGTTGCCGATAGAATGCCTAAAGTCATCCAAAATGCCGTCATGACTGTAAGGTCAGTGCATGAACATACATGTATATAGTTTAGAAAAATGGTGCCCTACCAACAAGTAGCATTAATTATTTGCTTCTTTCTTGTGTTATACAATTCTGATTTCCTCTGAAGACAATCACATACCATGCATTTGGCATCAGTATCAGACCATGAGCCACATAAACAAGGTTTACTTCCCAGAACATGTATTATACCGGTACATGGGACATGTATATGTAATTACAAGATAAAGTATATATGGTATTTTCAAGTATAACCTTCAACCAATACCTGCATTATTATTCCTTTGTTATGATTACTGAAATGCAAATACTGCAAAGTTTGGCTGCCTGTTGCATCTTAGTTGCCATTACACTCTCAGATGAAATGGGAATGCACCGTATTATGAACTTCGAAGAAAGGAAAAGCAAGACCTGTTGAGAAATATCCTTAACCAGAAGCCCCTCTCTTAATTATTTCAGAGAAAAA